TACTTTTTGAGTAATAGAGAGCGTAATTATTTTGCAAACATAGAACGTATTGAAAAATATGGGCATCATAAACTGATATATACAGTATGTAACATGCATTAACAATCATTTTATTATTAGTTTCTTTTTTAATTAATTATAAAGTAAAATTTTAATTAAAAGAGTTATATAAAGATTAATTGAAAAATTATTTTATTTGCGTTACTTATATTGATTTATATTTTCATGTAAAATTCAAATTAAATTAGTAGCTGTAAATATTAAATAACATTCTAATTAAAGTAAAACTCAATTTGAAAAATTAATTGAAGAGTCGTCAGAGAGTTAATTTATATTCCCATATTATCCGTGACATACTACATAGAATGCTATTTGTCGTTTGTGTAATACCATATAAAGTCTATTCTGAATTCTATAGATGGAAAAAGCTGTTTTGTTTTTCTTCTAATATTATTGCTACAAATGAATCTTTACAAAAAGCATTATTTAAGACCTAATTTAGCGATTTTAATGATTTACGAAAATATCAGTATTATACAAACGATATCTTCATGTGTATTTGAGAAGTGGAAAGATATAAATTTGCAAAATTATTTTTTTTTAGTCATAGAAGGATCATAATCGCGAGTTAAATATAATAAGATTGAAACCTCTTTGCGCAAAGTAATATAAATTTTTAATATTTAATTATTATTTAATATTTAAACAAGATAAAGTGTTTACATCTCAATTATATAATGAATTAATTTAAAAATTCTATTCAATATATCATAATTTATATAAATATTTGGCCTATTATAAAAATGTGATTTATACGATAAAAGTAGTGATAGTGAATTCAATAATCGCTTCCGCTTTCCAAGTACACATTCATTAGAATCGTGCCACTGATCGATTTATCTTTGCCTCAAGAGATATAACTCGATGAAATTGGTAGTGGCTCTTTCTTTCTTTCTCTTTCTCTCTTTCTCTTTCATGATCACTAAATTAAGATATCCGACTTTACAACATGCACTTGCAGACTCGCAGACAATTCGTTATGGACAGAGTTCCCGCTTTGCTTGGAAAAGGAAATGGTAGCGTTCAAAAGGGAACATGTACTCTCGTTCGAGAGACTCGTAATGAAATTCCTATAAATTACTCAACTTGATAAAAAAAAAAAAAACAATGAAAGTTTTACAGATAGAAATCGTTAGCGTTCAGATCCAATCGGGCAAGCTGACATTTCACGAATGCGGATGTTATATTTGTGTAACGATCAAGTTAATTCTGGAATGGCAAATTTTCTATAGTTCTGTAGACGAGATTGAAAAATTTCTACATCGTTTTGGTAAACGCGAAAGTTCGCGAAATATATAAGTGTAAAATTTATAAATGTTTTTCGTTAGGCAAAAGGTGTGAGAACATATAAAGAATATAAAAGAAAGGGAACGCATAAAGAATAAAAACGAATAATTAATTTAAATGACGCTATCATTCCCTATAAATGTAGCAATGGATACTCAATATTGCAGTTTAATAGCAAAACTTTGAATAATAATTTAATGGCTGGAAATATTTCATTTTCTCCGTGAAATGAGTTACATGAAAATATTTTATTGATTGATGGACATTTCTTCAAACAAAATATTTTATATAAATATAAACACAATATAAATATTAATATATAAATATTAATAAATATAAATATTAATAAACTGGTAAATAAAAATAAAACATAATTAAAATATAAATGCATATATTACTAGCTGGATTATGTCATCTAAAAAAAAATATAATTAATAACAATACTCTATTTATAAATAATTAAAATTATACAAAAAAGACGTTACTCTTTTATGACAAATCTTTAATTTTCGACACCAATTTTGCAAATTTCTCTTTCATATTAAGAAAATTCATTAATATTAAGAGATTTATAAAAAAATGATTTTGTATCATCATCATTTTATATTCTATTATATCATGTCACGATGCTAAATAATTGTTAAACTTTTTGATTGATCCGCTGTGATAAAATTTTGAAAATTTTGTTATGTTTTACTAACAATAAGTACAATAGAACAACATTCATCTTTGCTTTTTTTTCCATTGATGAATCCAGATATTGAACAAATAGAGCTGAAGAATCATTGAATTTTCTTTTCGAACCAATTAACACAATTGCTTGAAAACTTTTCAGCTATGTTTGTAAAAATTGTGTAAATTCATTTCCGAGATCAAGAAAGATTTTTGCCAATAAGAGTTCTGGATTCACCAGCATTCCGCTTTCAGAGGATAGTTCGCTCGAAACGATGCTCATGCAACTCGTATTCATTCGCAAACAGCCAGCCAGCTAGCTAGTTAAATCAGCCAGAGCCGGTCGTGGCACGATTCTCGGATGGTTTCAATTCTTTCTCCCGCTCCCTCTCTCTTTTCTCATTTCTCTCTCTCTCTCTCTCTCTCTCTCTCTCTCTCTCTCTATTTTAATTTCTTTTTTATTCTGCGCAGGCAGACCTCTACGCAAGGCAAACACGCAAGCGACAGAGTGTGCGTGACGTGGGGTGCAGTACCGAGTAGCGTCGTAGCCCTGTCCGCCGGGTGGCAAGGGTGGCGCCCCCGGAGGAAACGGGGACCGCGGGGGACCAGACGGCGGACGCCCCGGTGGTTTCACGCCGTAAAGGCTGTACGATTCCTCCAACAGCTCCGTATCGCTGCACCACCCACAACAGACATACACATCCGCGCTATCAGACATCCGTGTGGAAAAGGTCACAGTGCGGAGACCAGCATCAGTGGGGATTAGGGGGTGGGTTTCAGTCATTCGGGATGGGTGAGACCGGAAACAACGTTTTCCTAGGAAAGAGGTTGCGACTAGAGAGACGGGTGGATCGGGGTTTCCGGATGAGTGGAGTTTATTCAAACGGATTGTACAGAGTCGCTGTATTTACATGGATAGATATGCTGGATCTCTTATTAAAGAAATATGTAACAAATTAATTCGTGCATTTATGCCCAGTCAATAATATGTCGAGGCAAAAAATACAAACATTGTCGGCATTAGACCATTGTGTGGCGCAATAACATTATATAACCGGTTATTTAATATAATAAATTCAATCAGTTCCGGAGTATTTAAGCAGAGAGAGAATAAATGTATATCTATTCTGCGTAAAATGAAATATTGACGATAATAAAATTGAAATGAATTTCGATGTAATGAAGTAGTTTACATTCTATATATATCATCGCAAATAGTTATTCTTCTTCTTAAATTTTATTCTTAAATTTTATATGTACAGTAATATAAATTTTCCTTTCGATAATAAATTCATCCGTTTATTTTTACAAATTAATTTAATTTTAGAAGTTCAGTCATCAACAGCACAGCATAAAGATTTAAGTGTATTTAAGTGTATCACAATTTTTCGAATTTGAATTTCCAATTAGTGTATAATTAAATGAAAAATGAAATTTTTCTATCATTTGCATTTTTAGAATTTAATTATCGAAGACCTTTAAGTTTTTAAATCGTTCATCTGTTAACTCAAGGAATTCCCAATATAATTTTAATGAATAAGTAGTAATTGTCAGAGAAATTTGCAGGTAAAAAAAACCTTAGAAGTTTGAGGCATCTCTTTGTTCCGAGACATAAAAAATTTCGTCAATTATAGTCCTTATAGAAATTTAATACTGGTCAATTTAATACTAAAAGACAGTGATTAATTACTTATTTTAAATATTAAATGCACTGAATACACAAAAAGAGTCAAGTTACATTAATTGGAATGGTGGAAAATGGACAAATCAGAGTTTTTTCCGATTAAGTCTATTAGAATTCTAGTCAAGATAACCATAATTATAATGATTAGAATTCTGATTGATGTAATCAGAATATGTTGGTTCGTTTTCATTTTTAACCACAAATTTTTCTCAGTACACCGACATTTTCAATTCAATGTAAGTAATTAATCGTTACCTTCAATTTTTACAAGGAAGTCATATCACACTGTGCCTTTTCGGTATTACAAATGCGAGTCGCTTTTACTGCGCGAGATTCTGATTACCTGGCTTCTTCGTCGATGACAGGCGTAACAGTCCCCGAGTATTGCGAATAATACGGATCCTCGTAGCTGCTGCCGGCGCTGTAAGGTCCGGGTGGATATCTTCCGCTTCCGGAACCGACTCCGCCGCCGCGCTCGGGGCTGCTCATGTATCCGCTTTCTCCATGTAGCCGATCTGCAGAGATTTAGTGATTCGTGTATTAGTGAAGATCAACGTGGAGAGCACCATCAATGTTCTCTTTTTGCATCTGCGTCACTGCGTTGCATTTTTGCATTGAACTGCTTGGAGAATAATAATCCGTTATTATGTACACAGAGAGATTTATGTTCGTTTCTGTCAATGCAGATTAGTTTTAATTCTAATTCTCAGAACTAGGAAAAGATAAAAAATAAATTAAACCGAGATTATGTAGATTAAAATTAATCTACATTGAAATCTACATAGAAATGGACATTATATTCTAATGATATTCACGTAAAGTCATTAGAAATTAAACAATAACAATTTATCTTAGAACGTTATCAATATTAAATGATACAAATTGTTCTTAATACGTAAATTTTATATGCAAGGAACTATACCGTTTTGAATTAATGTAACATAATAAGATTTTCATTTCATTTCACTTTTGACAAAATATTTATATTCTAGATCTTTATATTACAAATACATATAATCATTAACTTAAAGGGAAAGAAGAATAAATATACTATTAAATTCAATCTTGAAATGATATGAAGTATAAGTCCAATGTCTTTTCAACACATCAATAAATTAAATATGTAACACAAAACTTAAAAATTGAAATCTATTACTTTAACTTATCACGTTCTTCGTTAGAAAAACAAACTGAATTTTTAAAAGCATATTCTCGCTTGACAGATTGAATCTTCTCGTAACTAAATTCTTCGAACATCAAAATCTTTAAATCAAATATAGATTAATCAATTAGTCGCGATTATAATTTTTCAATATATTTTCTCAATATATGATATTATATTAGTCATTAGACTATTATATATCCTTCCATGATAAATCTCTGATTTTCTAAGATTATTCATTACTACCGAAGGCGTAACTTAAATTCAATGATACTTGTTCACTTATACATAAAATTTACATACGATATAGCATTCCAGAATTAAACAAATGAGAAAAATATCAAAAGTAAAATATTAATTCTTAAACAATAATCAACCAAAAAACCAAACATATGTCTTAATAAACGATTACAGCCAACAAATGATTGGTAAACAAAACAAAATCAGCAATTATTTTATTAAAACTTTTATTAAAACTATTAAAACTAATGATAAAGAATACGCTTGTTCTACTTGTTCTACAATGTTCCTTGTGTTTGTCGAGAGTTTTTTTTATGATTATTATCATCTATTTGCGGCTCGATACCTCCGTCGAGTATTAGTTCCGTGGTGCGCGAAATGTGCAAATGAAATTACAATCAGAGGACCGTATCGACGAGGGAACGTCATTTATATCAGTCATTATGATATGGAGAGGATAAGAAAAAAGATTTTTCACAATTGTGCTTTTTACGGGAGGGCATACAGCTACAGTTCTCGAGTGAAAGGGAGCGGATGAAAAATGAGATGAAAGAGATGCTGCTTTTCGTATATATTATGATATCACACAGCGTTGTACAAGGGAAATGACATACGTAGGATGTTTCTAGATGTTCATGAAGGATTTAACTTTAGTGTTGGGAATATGTAAAATCACGTAATTTTGTAATGGCTCTACAATACGTGAAATAACGTAATTTTGTAATGGCTCTGCACTTTCTACATATGTTATGTTATAACCATTAATTAATTTAATTATGAACAAAATTACTAACGATAATGTGGTTTACCGATAATGTGATTTCCTTTTGCGTTTATATTTGCATAAAATTAAAGCACTTCAAGATTTTCTTATCACACATTAAATTAAATAAAAGAAAATAAATTATTAGACGCTACGGTAAATATTTTTGGTCAAATTATGATTGACAAAAAATAAAAGGTGAATAAAAGTGAATAATTCATTACATAAAATTTTAACTTTTTCAAATCAATTTTTGAGAGAAAATTAGTTTTACAATACTCAAGAAAGTTTTCCTTCCTCGCGCAATATGTCAACGGCATAAATTTCACGCGAATTCAAAACATTTCGATTCCATTCATATTTATTCCCAACACTATTTCCACGGTCTCGAGGTCGTTTAATTAAAACTTGACTCGACCCGGTTTGATTAATCGCGATGCTGCCAATTTCATGATTTTTCTGTGTTCCAAACAGCCAACCATCTCCATGATTCAGTTTCTCCTTATTACAAATACGTCACATTTGCTACATTTTTGTCACAACTGTTGCGCTTGAAATTTATTAGTTCTTTGCTCATAGTTTGTACCATTATGCTTCGCCGTAACGGCTTTCTTTCGTAAAAAGATTTCTCGTTCACGATGTACGTTTACTAATTTCGGACAGACGAAGATTAGCTTGCGATCTTAAAAGGACTTATGTATATCAAGTCTGCCGAGATTTATTTACCGCTTGGATTATAATTGTTGTGAAAACAACGATAAATAATGTTGCTATTTTTTGCGAGTAACTAGATTCAATTCTGCATTATAACTGAATTCTATTTCATTTCATACGCAACCGATTGTGCTATACAAAAATTTACAAGGCTTACGTAATTTTTTTTGTATCAGAATAAATGATATTATAAAAATTGTTAATTGGAAACTATATAAAAAGTGAGCGCTATGAATTGCTAAAAATGTTTTATACAATTTACATTATATATAAAAAAAAATTATATATAAAAAAAAAGTTCTTTGCAGTGTTTTAAGATATTTATTAATATCCTTATCAAATTGACGGTCAATTTCATTATTATATTATTTTATTATTATATTATTTTATTATTATATTATTTAACTTCTATTTATAATTGTTTTTAAGTCTAACATTTTTAAATAATTGGCGCGCAATTCATATATGAATAACTGGAAAATGTATTTAAGACTTATATATAAAATATATATTAAATACTAAGATCTAGCCTCAATTATATTTAGCCCTTCTTTAATTGTACCTTTTTAGTAATTAGTTGTTAAGCGTGTGATAGTTGTGTATTTATTAGAACACTGTTAATAGAATTGGGAAGTTAACTCGTTATTTATAACAAAGTTACAGTTAGAATTATTTTTTATCAGTAGCTGTAACTCAACTTTGTTTCTTTCTCTCCATCTATAACTGTAATTTAATTTGGTTACATTTTAACTAGTAACTAATTTAATACTTAATATTAAATATAATTATAATAGTTACTTTATATAAAACTTATTCCTCAAACAAATGTCTAAAATAAAATAAAATGCTTAGTGAATAGTTAATAATAATTCTTTATGATTGAAATATATTTTTTCTTGATAAAATCATCATAAATATTTATATTAATAATTAAATTAAGAGCCTTCTAATGAATGGCGATTTAATATTAATCCTATAATAATTAATACTTTAATTTATAACTTTGATTCCAAATGTATATATTATTTTATTATGTATAATATAGCATGTAAGTAAATATAAGTAAAAGAATTCAATAATATTAGAAATGTATAAGATTCTTGTATTTAAGATAAAAATATAAATAACAAAAAACTAAATAAAAAGAAACAATTTATTACTTTTTAAGTAATTACAACTTACAACTGTAATGAGTAACTAGTTAATATGAACTTTTTAAGAGAAAAAAACTATAATTGTAACTCGTTACTTTTACGAAGTAACTTTCTGGTTATTAGTAATATTAGTAATCAGCAGTCTGAAGTTTGGTAATATACTTCATGGATTTTAAGTAGAAGTATTTCTGTATCGCATGTATATACATAATTCATTCAACGAACATTTTACTTTTGTTAAAACACACATACATTTGCAGTCGCTTTTGTTGCAGTGTAGCTCAAAGAAGGTGTTATAGCTTGGCACGTGAGCTTCAGACATCAAAGATCAGTCCGTAAGAAACATCCGTAAAGCGTGTTATTGGCGATCGTCCCGCGATCGCGGCTCGTCGCGGAAGGATCGAGCTGTGTCTGACGAATGTTTAAGGATACTACTGACCTGGTATACTATAGAGGGAGACCGAGCTGTCTCTAGAGAAGCGCGCCGAGCCCCCGAGGCTTCCAAGGGGACTCTTACCACACTGGTAGCTGCGAAGCGGCTTGGCCGGCGGCACCCCGCCAACACCTCCTATCCAACCATCCAAAAAACCAAACAAAAAACCAATGTACCCAGGTGCTCCGATGTACGTATCTCTTGTTTCTCCGCCACCCTCCGCTAAGCCGTTCGACGTTCAGTGCACATGCAGAAGTGAACAAGACCGGAGTACCGTGATCCGCGCGGCAGTCGGACCATTTTTCTCACGTCTCACCGCGGATTTCGTGTGCCATTGAAATTCACATAGCGTGTCTACACAAACGTTCGATACTTCCGAAACGTGAATAAAACCGACTCGAATAGGGCCGCGATAACATTCCTAAGCAGCGATTTGTCAAGGGAGACTGAGAACCTTTTGAGTGAAAAAGCGCGGTAGAATTTATACAGTCATGTCTCTTACAAGGGACTTCAGAAAATGTCAAATTTTAATTTTGATAAAATTTTGTATACATATAGATTATATAAATAGATGAATATTCAGAAAATATCAATTGCAGTTAATAAATATTTTTAAAAAATAAAATCATCTCTTATATGTGAAGCGGTTTCCAGCTTTTCTATCTCAAAAAGTATTCAAGATATCAAAAAGTATTTATAAGATGTAACAAAAAAAAAGCTATATAACGGAACATATAAGAGGTGATTTTCTTAAAATCAGTAGCTTCAACTGATATTTTCTAAATTTATTTATTTATGTACCTACGTGTACAAAGTTTCATTAAAATTAGAATTTGACGCCTCGCGAGGTTTCCTTGCTAGAAATTTTTCGACGATCGTCAGGCAACCAGGTTTGCACTATGAATTTAAATATAATCGCGCGATTACGAATGTCATTGAAATTTTGACGTAACAGTTTGTCGACTTTTACATATATGCACTTCTCGACCACGTCACGATAATCGTAGCGTCAAGAGAAATGTCTTCTTTAGAAAATGCTTCAACTTTTTTTTCTTGACTGACAGCATTTAGCAGACGTTCGCGTGTTTTACTATATAAAATAGATCTGCCTCGTCATAGTGGTTGATGATTAATCACGATCGATCTGCGTATGATTGGGCTATTCCTAAATCCGTTTCTCTCGGAATCTTCGTGTAAAACGTTTCTCTCGACAAGGAGAACGCTCGTGGCAGTCAGAAATGAGGCCATCCTTTCCCCTTGGACTAGCAGGTAGCCTGTTAAGTGTTTTTGAGTAGTTCTCGAATAGCGCTCGGCCAAACGCCGACGGTCGTAACGATCTCCGTTGTACGATTAAGAATCGAAACGACCTTGCAACCGTCGATCGGAAGTATGAAGAATGGAGAGCGATTGCGAGTGTGTGCGTCTATGTGCGGATATATGCGCTTAAGCTCAAAGCATAAAGTACGCGTTTGAAAAAAATTGGTCGAGTTTCAGAAAGATTTCAAGAGAAAAGTGCGCTAATTTGGGAACAATCGTCAATTGTTTCTTGTTCTCACCAATCTTTCTTTGCCAGCCAATTAAATCGCGAAGATAACAATCTTGAAATATAATTTAAAATACCAGAGCTTGTAATATAGCAAATGAATTTTGATTTCACCTGGAATAACATTTACTGTCATTTACATACATTACAGTTTTCAAAAAAATTGAAGAAAATTATATATTATATAAATTCAAATAAATATAATTGTATCTATAATATTATTAACAATTTATGTCATTTATTCTAAAGAAATGATTA